GGAGAGGCGCCAGAGGTGAGATCAAAGAGAGAAAGGTCGTCAGCCCTGTCGCACTGTAAGAACAGCTGCAGGTCGTCTAACCAGACCTCAAAATCAATGGCGCGACCCTCAGCGTCAAAAGCTAGGACACTAGGGGTAGCCATGGCGACGACAGCGACGCAGTGCAAGCAGAAGGGAAAGAGCTCGCAGTGGCAGTGGGACTGTGCTCACCAGGCAGGGCAGGTCGAGAAGGTATGCAGAAAGGCGGCTCAGCGACCTGGCGGCTCGGGTGCTGGGCGGCTCGGGCACAGGGCGGCTCGGCTCCCGGGCGGCTCGGCTCCCGGGCGGCTCGGCTTCCGGGCGGCTCGGCGGTTGGGCGGCTCGGGTGCAGAGCGGCTCGGCTCCCGGGCGGCCCGGCGGTTGGGCGGCTCGGGTCCCGGGCGGCTCGGCGTCGGGCGGCTCGGCTCACGGGCGGTTCGGCTGCTGGGGCGGCTCGGCCAGGAGATCCAGGGGCGGGGCCGTCAGGTGCAGCGGCGGGTTGACCGATGCAGTGGCGGGCCGGCAGGTGCAGCGGCGGGCCGGCAGGTGCAGCGGCGGGCCGGCAGGTGCAGAGGCGGGCCGGCAGGTGCAGGCGGCGGGCCGTAGGGTGCAGTGGCGGGCCGGCAGGTGCAGCGGCGAGGCCGTCAGAGGCGGCGGGCCGGCAGGTGCAGCGGCGAGGCCGTCAGAGGCGGCGGGCCGCTGGGTGCAGCGGCGGGCCGGCAGGTGCAGTGGCGGGCCGACAGGAGCAGCGGCGGGCCGGCAGGGGAGGCGGCGGAGCCGAGTCTGGGGAGGCGGCAGGGCCGCGTCAGGGGAGGCGGCGGAGCCGCGTCAGGGGAGGCGGCGGTGCCGCGTCAGGGGAGGCGGCGGAGCCGCGTCAGGGGAGGCGGCGGGGCCGCGTCAGGGAAGGCGGCGGGGCCGCGTCAAACAGGCGGCGGGGCCGCGTCAGGGGAGGCGGCGGAGCCGCGTCAGGGGAGGCGGCGGGGCCGCGTCAAACAGGCGGCGGGGCCGCGTTAGGGGAGGCGGCGGAGCCGCGTCAGGGGAGGCGGCGGGGCTGCGTCAGGGGAGGCGGCGGGGCCGCGTCAAACAGGCGGCGGGGCCGCGATCAGGAGAGGTGGCGGGGCCGCGTCTGAGGGACAGCGGGGCCGCGAGGGAAACGGCGACCCGAGGGGTCGCTAAAAAAAAAGGCGCGCCTCGGGGCGCGCTTCGGTGGGCCCTAAAAAAACGGTCCTAAGGTAGGACCCGCTCTATACCATGTGAAACAAGGAAAACAGGAATGAAAACGACTAAGTCAGAGTTGGGTACAAATACAACCCTAGAAAGCTGTACCCCATATGTGCTACCCCACTATGGCCTACAAACATGCATCAGCTATGATAATCTGACACACCCAACAGTACAGCGACAGTTCCGACTGACCCAACCCGAACTAGACGAACTGAGGAAGCAGCTCGATTACCTGCTCGAGAAGGAATTCATTCGCCCTAGTTCGTCGCCCTTCGCCGCACCCATACTGTTCACACCGAAAAAAGACGGGGGTTTTCGCATGTGCATCGACTACCGGGCACTGAACAGGGTTACCATCAAATCCCGTTACCCCATCCCACGAGCCGACGAACTGATCGACCAACTGCGCACAGCCCGGGTTTTCTCGAAAATCGACCTCCGAGGAGGCTACCACCAAATCCGCGTCAACCCAACCGACTGCCCTAAAACCGCATTCCGAACACGCTACGGATCCTTCGAATACACCGTCATGCCATTCGGACTGACCAACGCCCCCGCCACTTTCCAAATGACCATGAACGAAGCATTCCGCCCGCTTTTAGATAAGTGCGTCATCGTTTATCTGGACGACATACTGATTTACAGCCCTGACAGAGCACAGCACTTACACGACATCGAGGCAGTTTTTAAAATCCTGAGAGAGAACCGCCTACTGACCAAAGCATCTAAGTTTGAGTTTTTACAGGACCGCCTGGAGTTTTTGGGACATGTTATTTCAGCTGCAGGAGTGGAAATAGACCCGAAGAAAATTGCGACGATTCAGGCGTGGCACGCGCCGACCAACCTGACCGAGTTGCAGAGTTTTCTGGGGTTCGTCAACTACGTGCGCCGGTTCGTCCCCGACATGGCGAAGCTGACTGCCCCGTTGACCGACCTGCTGAGGAAGGGAGTTGAGTACACGTGGGGGGAGAAAGAGCAAGCTGCCTTCTCGGCCCTCAAAAATATTTTGTGCTCCCCGCCCGTCCTTCACATTGCAGATCCCCACCGTCCGTTCGAGCTCGTCACCGACGCAAGTGACATCGCTGTGGGAGCGGTACTGTTGCAGGACTTCGGGAACGGCCTCCAGCCAATCGCGTACGAGTCCCGCAAACTACACCCGCCCGAACGTAACTACCCGATACACGACCGCGAGATGCTAGCGATCGTGCACGCGTTCAAAGTCTGGCGATGTTACGTGACTGGCGCCGACGTGACAGTACGGACAGACCACCGCTCGCTACAGTACCTTCGCGCCCAACCGAATCTCAACCCACGACAGATTCGCTGGTTGGACTATCTCGAGTCCAATTTTCACTACACCGTTACGTACAAAAAAGGTGCATCCAACATCGCCGACGCTCTCACCCGCCCCACCGCCCAACTCCACGCCATCCTACTCGCCCAGACCAACCCGCTTTTAACCGGCCTATTCACCCACGGATACCGCACCGACCCATTTTTCACGACCGGAAATTCACAGCAACTGGCAGAAGCAAAAGGAGTCTATTACGTAAAAACAGGCACCAACCGCATTTGGGTACCCGCGTACTCACTACTGAGGGAGCTGCTACTGCAGGAGGCACACGACGGGATTACCTCGGGACATTTCGGGGTAGAAAAAACGCGACAGCAACTGCAGCGGTACTATTACTGGCCGGAGCTGTTGACCGACGTACAGCAGCACGTGGGCTCGTGCACGACGTGTCAGGTGATGAAGAGTTCAAGGAAGCGGAAGGCGGGTCAATTGCAGCCGATCCCACCGCCCGAACGCGCCTGGCAGCAAGTAACCATGGACTTCGTCACAGGGTTACCTTCGAATCCTGGAGGTAACGACGCGGTGATGGTCGTCGTGGATAGGCTGACGAAGATGGCGCACTTCGCTGCGTGCAAAAAGTCGATCTCAGCCGAGGAGACCGCTCGCCTGTTCATCGCAGCCGTTGTTCGCCTGCACGGGATACCAGCAGCAATTATCAGCGACAGGGACACGAAGTTTACCAGCAACTTCTGGAAGAACCTCTGGGAACAGTTCGGGACCAGGCTACAGTTCAGTTCGTCGTACCACCCCGAGACCGACGGCCAAATGGAGCGGACGAATCAGACGATGGAGCAGTTGATTCGTGCCACGTGCGACGACCCAACGACCTGGGAGCAGCAGTTGCCGCTGATCGAGTTCGCGTACAACAACGCCACATCAGCCACGAGGCAGCAGTCCCCATTCTACCTGAACTATGGGCAAAACCCCACAGTGCCCATGACGCCGAGTCCGGACAACCCAACGCCACGTGCACAACAATTCGCCGAAATCCTGCAAGCTGCCCGCGCCAGAGCCGCCGAGGCAATAAAAAAGGCCAACGTCATCGCTAAGCGCAACGCTGATCGCCACCGCCGTCCTGTCACGTACCAATCTGGAGATTACGTGCTGCTTGACACGCAAAATCTGCGACTGCCCGACGTACCAAAATTACGACCGCGCTACTGTGGACCATTCCAAATCAGTCACATGATCACACCCGTCACCGCGCACCTACTGTTGCCAACCGACTGGTACATCAGCCCTTCGTTCCACGTCAGCCTACTTCGCCCATACATCCCGACCACAAGTCAACTGCCGCGTCACCGGCCACAATCAATGACTCGCCCTGCATCGGAGCCGATCATCGAGCCCGAAAAAATTCTGAGCCATCGGATCCGCCACCCCACGGGAATCAGGAGGATTGAATTCCTCGTTCGCTGGAAAGACCGCACGCCAACTGAAGATAGCTGGGTGCCCCTGAGCAACATCGAAAATCACCCTGCCCTGCAAGTGTACCTGAGGAGCCGGGGATTCCGCGATATACACGCACTCGCGTAGCGGAGGGGGCTTCTTAAGGGGGGGGGTAGTGTAAGGAATTTTCTCGGCATTCCTTACGGAGCCGACTACATCGCGTACAGCAACAGCCGATTGTTCGCCCGTTACTGCTAACGGAACTTCGCCGACTTCGCGCGCACTGTTTTGCCAAACCTCGCATTGCTGGCATGGCCGTATCGGCCTACGCTTCGGGACTAGCCCGAGCCTCGCTCCAGCGTAGCACTAGCAAGCTCGCACGCACCGCGTTACCGTTTTGCATGTTTCGCGTATAAATGTTCGCTCATGCCTTCGCTCACATTTTGTACTCGTTTGACACCTTAGTGCAATTCTCGCTACCTCGATTCATTGCACCCGTAACAGATATGAAGTGATAACTTCAACGAAAACATTAAATTGGTAAGGTATTGCTAAAAAATCGTAACATGAAAAAGCCACCCTTTTTTGGAGGGGTATGAGACATGATAGTGTTAACATAATCTCACAACCTACTATACAGAGAGCAATACTGCTGGAACTCATAACAAAACACTTTATTTGTTTTTTTTTTTTTTTTTTTGGAAATTCAATCTCGGCCTCCTCCACTGGATGCCAGCTCTTGCCATGAGCTCTAAGCTCATGCAAAGCTCATAACCAAGCTTTTGTAGTCCATTTCTCATGATAGAACAGTCATTCACACCATGTGTCTCGCCATAGTGTGTCTGAAAAAGAAAGGGGATGGAGAAAGAAAGGGAGAAGGAAAATGAAACTCCCAAAAAGAACCCAAATGCAACACACATAAAACCCCCCCTCAAGTTACCCAATCAAAACGCCCAGTCAAGACACCCCATCAAGACATCCCATCCCACGCCCCATCCCCTCCCCCCCCCCTCAATCACATCAACGTATCGACCATGTACGGGGCCTCCACCCAGAGAGCCCCGCCTTCCACATCGACATCGTCCCTCTCCTGATCCGCCAAATCTACGTTAATCCCCCCCATGGAAGACGCCGCTCGAAGCAGGATGACACGGGCTTGCGCACGTTGTAACGCCACCCCGATGAGCGCCTTTAGTGACCCTAAAAGATAAGCCGAAAACACAGAGTCGTCCTCTCGACAAGCCCCCCGCGACACAGCTAGCCCCACATGCGCATCCCCCTGCTGACGAAGCCACCGCTGAAAACGACCGCCGAGACACCCCCACGTTTCAACTATCAAAGGGGTGAACTGCACGCCCCGGTTGCGTGCAAGCAGAGGCGCGTAATCACTCGTTTTGCGACGCTCCCATTCCCTTGCCGCCACACCTATTTGACGCCCGCACTGTCCCAACAGTGATGGAGACAGTGATAGCGGGTCCGCGACGCTGATCTCTAGGGCGTGAGCCTCTCCAGCCATTGGACGTCGCACCGCCACATCAACCCGCTTCCCTTGCAGCACCACACTATCCTCCAATGTCACCACCCCCCCCCGACGCCTTAGAGATCCTCGCCACCGCAAACTTCACCTCATCATGCACCCGAGAAGGACCATGCTGGTGCCTGCATCTCACGGCATGGTGCGGGTCTGCTGGGTCAACATACGTTGTGCCACAAACACACCTCCCCGCCACCTGCAGCTGCTGAATTGGGAGGCCGAGCCGTATAGCAGCAGCAATGCCCCACTCAGCCGCAGTGAATGTGAGATCTGAGTGAGCCGGAACCGCCGAAACCCATGCACCTGCCCCCGAGCCCTGAAGGGATGTGAAACGGGCCAAGGTAGCATCGTCACGAGCCAAGCGGCGCAGTGCCTGGAGCTCCTCTACAGCTAACTGCCGCTGACGCGCCTGGAAAAGCCGAACAGGAGGGGACGCTACACACAGAGGTAAGCCCGGTATCTCGTGGCGGATAGTCGCTGGCGGCTGCTCGAGAGCCTTGACAAACCACGGGTCAAGAAACTCTGCCCCTGTCGAAGTGGTGAGGTACTCAGCAAACATCGCCTCCTCACCCGCCACCCCTAACTGTGCAATGTCCCGCGCGGCCTGCGCCCACCCGCAAACATAGGACAGTGGGCTCAAAGAGGCCGCCGCCCGGATCCCGAACCCACCGAGACGCACAGGGAGATGCAGCTGCATGCGTGCGCGCCTAGACCGGTCGGGGTCCTGCTCCCAAGTGCCAGGTGGGAAAAGCTGCTCAAAGCAATCCTCTAAACAGCTGTCCCAATCCCTAAAAGCCTCAACCACCTCCGGACGCGGCGGCATAGTCCGGGCGAGGTACATCGGCCGCGCTAAACACTTTATTTGTTGCGTGTCGATGCTAGCAAAGGACAAATTCTATTATCCCTCAATAATGGGTGCAACGAATACGACACCTTATGATAACAAAGGTCTCCTAATATCAATCTCAGGTACTACATTAATCGTTGTGGGCGTTTTGGCGCACGAAGCTGCACAGCAAGGTGCAGATTTCATGCAGTGAATGGCAAAGTAAACGGGCAGTGCTGTGAAAACAAAGGCGAGCGAGAGCAGCGACGGGATGAGTTGTGTGACGAGAGACGAAATGACAAGGTACCTGGAGGTGGGGAGGGGGGGTAGGAAGAGTGAGGAGGGAAGTGTAGGGGTGGAGTGAGTGAGGGGATACAAGGGGCATAGAGCCACATCAGCTGAGTGACAAGAGACGAGATGACAAGGTACACGTGGGTGAGTTGTAGAGAAAGAAAAGGACAGATATGTAGGGGTGGAGTGAGTGAGAGGCCAAAGAAGCACAAAGGCACATCAGCTGAGTGAGAAGAGATGAGATCACAAGATACCTGTGGGTGAGTTGGGAAGATTAGGAAGGAAGAATTGTACCGGTAGGGGTGGAGTGAGTGAGAGAATAAGGGAGAGACAGAGAGTCACTTGTGGAACTGCAGCGCCAACCACGGGGGTTGCTTTAAAAGGCACCTCACTACACATGTGTGTAGTGAGTGAGAGAATAAGGGAGACACAGAGTCACTTGTGGAACTGCAGTGCCAACCATGGGGGTCGCTTAAAAGCCACCTCACTCCATCTGTGTGTAGTGAGTGAGAGAATAAAGGAGAGACAGAGTCACTTGTGGAACTGCAGCGTCAACCATGGAGTTCGCTCTGGCTAGTGAGTTCAACCAGCCAGGAAGGTCAGGAAGGAGAATTGAGAAGGATTGATAGGCAGGTGTGGGCAGCTCTTACGACAATGACGCCTGGAAGCGGGTCAAGGCTGGCCTTGTAGGAGCGGGCCAGGTCCGGCAGGTCAATAGGAGAATTGAGAAAGATTGATAGGCAGGTGTTGCTTACGTGGATACAACGACGACGATGACGCCTGGAAGCGGGTACAGGCTGGCCTTGTAGGGGCGAGGCAGGTCCGGCAGGTCCCAGCGCAGCTTGATGAGCGATGCCCCCACGAGGCCGTAGAACATCCATGCAGCGATGCCGAAATAGTCAATCAGCTGAGGATGGATGGAACGAAGGGGTGGGGGAAGGGGAATGCGGGAACAGAGGAAAGGCGGGTCGGGAAGGTCCCATCGCAGCTTGATGAGGGACGCCCCCACGAGGCCGTGGAATATCCACGCAGCGATGCCAAAGTAGTCGATAAACTGAGCGGGTGAGAGGAAGGAGAGAGAGCAAAACGAATTGAAAAGCAGGTCAGGGAAGGTCTTAACGCAGCTTGATGAGGGACGCTCCTACAAGACTGTAGAACATCCACGCAGCGATGCCGAAATAGTCGATCAGCTGAGCGGGCGACAGGAATGAAAGAGCAAAGGGAGGGAATACAAAAGCAGGTCAGGAAGGTTCCAGCGCAGCTTGATGAGTGGCGCTCCTACAAGGCCATAAAACATCCACACAGCGATGCCAAAAATGTATATTAACTGGAATTAAAAGGAAAGGGTGGGGGACAGGGACTGTGGGTGCAGGGGAAAGTAATTGGAAAATCTGACGACAAGGCCGTATAAGGGCGTGTCTCACTTCGGGACAAGAGTACTGTTCATGTCATCCGAGATTCCTAGACGACAAATGATATTCCAGTAGTGTAGCTGAAATGCACTCTATTGGTCGTCCAAGAATCTTGGATGACATGAAGAGTACTCTTGACCCGAAGTGGGACACGCCCTAACATCCACGCAGCATGCAGCAATGCCGAAGCAGTCAATCAGCAAAGCGGGCGAGGTCATGATGGAGAAGGGGTGTGAAGGCTGAAAATGGGGAATGATCCAGGTTTTCGCACCCATGGAGCAATAAGATGGTGTGGGGTAATGGAAGAAACGGGGAAGGGGGCAAGGGGAGTGAAGGCGTGACAGTAAGAAAACAGGTTTATAGGAGCGCATGTTTATGAAGGCTAGGACGAAATAGTGAAACATTTGATGATGAGAGGGCAGGGAAAGGGGAGAAAAAGACGAGCAGCGAAGGCTTGAGAACAAGGGAAAGAAGGTTTGAAGGGCATAAAACATAATGAGAAAACATGTGTCACAAATCTGTAGCTTTTATGTATATACCTTTTCGTATACAGTACACAAATGCTATATCTCTGTACTGTACACATGTGCACTTTCCATAAACTGTACCTTCTCAAGGTGGTTTGCCGCCACGAAGACAACAACCGCAATCCACCCGCCCTGAAGTTTGGATTGGAAATGGGGAGAGACACAAGGGAAGAAAGTACAACTTGAAAGGTTACAATTTTTTTTTTAGGTTTAAAGAAATGGCAATAGTGGATCCTTGATGGGGGAACGAGAGAGATGGGAATGAAGTAACTGAAAAAGAAACTGCGCATCATGTTGCGAGAAAAAAACGTTGGGATGATGGTCGCACTGAACGACAATGGCAAGGAAGGATTGAGGTCGTAGAGCTGAAGAAAGGAGAAAGAAGGGAAAGCATTGGGCGAAATGAAGTGTTCACAGTGGCAAGGAGTGAAGCGTAGGGAGCTCCTCCGGAAGTGACTGCACTGAGAAACGAAGTGACGGAGTGAAGCCAAGTTGTGTAAAGATGCACCGAGTGAAGGTTTGTGCAAGCCAAGGACTTACAGTGGCAAGGAGTGAAGCGTAGGGAGCTCCTCCAGAAGTGACTGCACTGAGAAACGAGAACAGCTGGCCGTCCCTTGCCTTGGCGTACTGTATGCCAAGGCATAAAACATAATGAGAAAACATGTGTTACAAACATGTGGGGAAAAGGGACAGAAATCGATACAGGAAGAGGGAAAGAGTTTCTATTTAGTCACATGCGACTTATGAAGAACCATGCGTGGCACAGCACCGACCAAACTCATAGCCACTGCAAATGAGTCGAGTAACAGTTCTGCTTATTCAAACCCTGTATATATATGTATATATATGTTAATCTATATTGCATATATGTATGCATATATACATGTATGTGTATGCATCAAATATGACTTACAAAGAAACGCGCGTGACACAAAAGGGTGGCGTTGGCAGCGCCGAGCACGTTGAGAGCAACCAGGAAGGCAATGAAACGACCGGAATGAGGACCAAACACTGCTTCCACCGCTTCTACCGCCACCACTTCCGACTTGCCCACGGCTAAGGTGGGATCAATGGGGAGGGGAATAGAGACGAGTGAGTAAGGGCAGGAAGGGGATGAAGAGTGACCGGAGGGAGTGCCAAACACAACGTTGACTGCCTCTACCGCTACCACTTCCGATTTCCGTACGGCTGAGAGTCGAAGGGTTGTTGGGAGAAAGGGGAAAAAGAGCATGGTGTGAAGGGGATGAAGCAGGCAAAGGAGTTGAAGGCACAGTGTAAGAACCGGAGTGATGTTGTGTCAATGTTGCAGTATTGTAAGCAATGTCGTTGTATGGTGACGTTGGTGATGTTGTTGATATTGTTGATATTGGCAGCGTACCTGCCAGGGGAAGAATGCAGAAGTAGGCGGAGTTGACTGCGAGCTGATTATGCGATGCCATGCAGTCGGTTGCGGTGCAGTACGGTTCCACGCGGTTTTGTGAAGGTTCATGCAAGGTCACAGGGGGGGACATTGTATATATTTGAAGCGCACGACCCAAACGATATGAAGAGGAAATGGAGAGTGTGGAAAGCACGGCATGCTAAAGCAGAACAATGCTCAGCCACATACACTTGTTCTCGACAAATGGTGCACATAAAGTTGAGATTTAGGGATATCTACATGACCACTCACGCGGATGCCGAGGGCATGAGCATGCCAAAGGAGCGCAATAGCCAGCCAAATTCACTCGTCCGCACAAAAGAGTGAACCGGCAGTTGAAATATGATTCATACATATCTGAATCACCACTCACACAGATGCCAACGGCAGTGAGCATGCCAAAGGAGAGCGAGCGAGGGAGGTCCCTCTTTGGGTTCTTGAGCTCTTCTGATAGATATCCCAGGCAATTCCTGCCAGGTGAGCGCAAGATTGGATATTGCACATTGCAGGGAAGGGATACAGAATGATGTAAGAAAAAACTCAATAGTGGGTCGCTCTTGAGATCCTCGGATAGAAAGCCCGGGCAGACCTTTGAGTCGACTCAAAAATCGTTCTTGAGATCTAGTTTTGAGGCGTCTAGTTTTGAGGCGTCTAGTTTTGAGGCGTCTAGTTTTGAGGCGTCTAGTTTTGAGGCATCTAGTTTTGAGGCGCCTCAAAACTAGTCAAAAGTCGCTCTTGAGATCCTCGGATAGAAAGTTCGGGTAGTGCCTGGAGAATGGGTGGAGGGAGAGTAGAAGCAGAAAGGAAGGGAGAAATAAACGTGATAAAGGTAACATTTTGAGACGTGTTTTGAGTCGACTCAAAACACGACTCATTTTGAGACGACTCAAAATGTTACTTTTATCTCCTGGAGAATGGGTGGAGGGAGAGTAGAAGCAGAAAGGAAGGGAGAGATCAATAAGATTTTCCCCTTGTGATCCTTGGACTTAAAGGGAGTTTTTGAGAGTTCTAAAAAATTCTGAAAGATACCCATGGCAGTTCGTGTCACGTCGAGGGGCAGAATGCCAGAGGATAATAGAATGGGGATCGGATGGAGGTTGGATGCGGTTGAGATGGACGAAATGAGATCTTTGAGTTTTTGAACCAGGGCGTTAGAGGCGGAGGGAAGTGACCTGACCTGTAGTAACAGGCGGAGTTTTTGAAACAGCGCTACTAGCTCACTCGTTCTCCTTATCCTTTGCCGGCCCCGGCCCGGCTCCAGTTGTAGGTGGAGAGGGGTGGGAGCGGCCGGGAGAAGTTTGTAGCAGCTACAGCCGTGCCACAGCTGGCACACAGGCAGGCAGCCGACTCACTCTTCCCTATCCTCACCAGCCATCAAAAGCCCAGACGGCAGCCACCAGGCTGGTCCCGGCCCGGCTCCAGTTGTATCAAGAGAGGGGTGGGAGCGGCTGGGAGAAACGAGGCTTGTAGCAGCACTAACTCACTTGCAAGCTGGTACTCGTTATAAGCTGACTCACCAGCCGTCAAAGGCCCAGACGGCAGCCACCAGGCCGGCCCCGGCCCGGCTCCAGTTGTAGCCGGAGAGGGGTGGGAGCGGCTGGGAGAAGTTTGTAGCGGCTACAGACGTGCCGTGGAGGGAGATGAAGATGGGCGCGCAGGCCACAACCGCAGCTATTAGGAGCGCCTTGGTGACTGTCAGTATGTTCTGCACCAACGCGCCTGCCTTCACCCCTGGGGTATTGGGTGGGGGTGTGGAGGGAGGAGAAAAGAGAGGAGGGGCGTGAAGGAGCAGCCAAGATGCAGAGAGGAGGATGGCAAAGCGGCATGTGGTGAGGGAGTTGGAGGAGAGCACATACCAGCACAGTTGAGAGCGGCGAGGAGGGGTGTGAAAGATCAGGCAGGCGAGAACGGAAGAAAGGGAGGAGAGCAGTTAACACCGGCGCTTACCGGAAGAAAGGGCGGGCACATACCAGCACAGTTGATGGCGGTGAGGAGGAGCGGGAAGGAGCAGGCGATGGTTCGGACAGGGGATGGAGGAGTGGTACAAGAGTGGGTGATCAGGCGGATGAGAGCAGGCACAAGTGGTGGGTGCAGTAGGGCAGTAAAGCACATACCAGCGCAGTTGATGGCCGTGAGGAGGAGAGTGAAGGAGCAGGCGATGATTCAGAGAGGGGGAGGAGAGTGGCTCGCCGGCACGTAACAAGGGGAGCGGGTGATAGAGTTGGTGACTACAGCGCGTACCGGCACAGTTGATAGCCGTGAGGAGGAGAGTGAAGGAGCAGCCGATGATTCGCACGCCCATCTCCATTTGCTCCTCACTGGCTCCCTGCATGCCCGGGAGCTGACGGGGGGAGGAGGAGAACGGGAGGGGAGTAAATGCGATGCAATGCGATGCGATTCAATCCAGTGCGATTTAACGCAGTGGAATGCAATGCAGCGCCTCACAGCATGCCCAGCCTCATCTGCTCCTCACCTCACTGGCGCCCTGCATGCTCGGGAGCTGAGGAATTAAGAGGGAGGCAGGGAGCGAAGGAAGAATATTCTGTGAAACAGTGCAATGCTACCCAATCCGTGTTTTTTGAGAATTCTCAAAGAACCCAATGCCCAGCCCCCTCTGCTTCTTGAATACACTTTATTCACATCCTTACGTGCTCGGGAGCTGAGGAGGGCAGTGGGGGATGTAATGATGAGCAGATGCGACAAAAGCAAGGATGTGACAAGCAAAAGCCAGTGGGGGAGAGGGAGGGGAGCCAAAGCAAGGAGATGCAAACGAGAGCAGATGTGACAAAAAGGATGTGAGCGCAAAGAAGCTCACCAGAGCGATGGTGTATCGGGCGAATGTGACTATAAGGATGTGAGTAAGCGGATGGGACAAAACGGATGTAAGTAGAAGGATGTGAGGATAACGGATGTGAGTGCAACGGAGCTCACCAGAGCAATGGTGTATCGGGCGAATGTGACTATAAGGATGGCGATGCCGCCGCCAGTAGAGACGAAAAAGAACATCCACATGAAGACAAACGAGAGCAGATCTCCGAACGCCAGCTGGATGTACTCCCCGTCGCCGCCCGCGTGCGGTATGGAGCTGCCCAGCTCAGCGTACACCTGCCACGTCAGCAGAACACGTCAGAAAGACACATCAGCAAGACACGTCAGTGAAGCATCATAACCCTCAGCGCAGCAGGAGTACGCGACGAAGCGAGTGCAGAGCTGTTGATAGTTGTGTTACCGCATGTAACCATTACCTGTTACCACAACGCGTTACATGCTGGACATGTCCTGTTACAGACCTCGCAGCTGGAGAAGGCGACGATGCCGGCGCAGAGCCACACGATAAGCGCGGAGATGGGCGCACCTCCCGAGTCAATAAGAAGTGGCTGTCAGCATACACATCCTAATACCTCAGCATGTCTCTAGTTGTGACACCTCTCACCTCCTACTCATGCTCGCACCTCGCAGCACGAGTAGGCGACGATGCCCGCGCAGAGCCACACGATGAGCGCGGAAATCGGCGCGCCTCCGGAATCAAGGAGCACGACGCCTGGCGTGGCGAATATGCCGCTGCCCACCACCACTCCCAGCACCATGCTGGTGGAGAGATGAAAAAGAGGGAGAGGGGAAAGAAACATGGGTGTTGGAGAACCAGCATCAGCATTCAGCAGCAGCAACTTTTGAGGCGCCTCAAAAAATCCTCAAAAGTTTTGAGGCGCCTAAAAAATCCTCAAAAGTTTTGAGGCGCCTCAAAAAGAAACATGGGTGTTGGAGAACCAGCACTTTCCAGGAGCAGCAAAAGGCCGGGCGTGGCGAATATGCCGCTGCCCACCACCACGCCCAGCACCATGCTGCAGCATGAAGGGGAAAGAGAGAGAGGAGGAGGAAGGAGAGGGGGAGGGAGGAGATGTATGGTAGGAATGAGGGGTTGGGAGGAGTGAGAGTCCACGAGCATGACGCCTGGCGGGAGGAGAAGGGATGCGGAGAGGGTGGGACGCGCGGGAGGAGAAGGGACGCGGAGAGGGTGGGACGCGCGGGAGGAGAAGGGACGCGGAGAGGGGAGGTGGGGAGCGGGGGGAATGAGGAGCCAGCAGCCTAAAAGACCGACCCTGAAAAGCAGCCCCTTTTGAGTCGACTCAAAGACCGACCCTGAAAAGCAGCCCCTTTTGAGTCGACTCAAAGACCGACCCTGAAAAGCAGCCCCTTTTGAGTCGACTCAAAGACCGACCCTGAAAAGCAGCCCCTTTTGAGTCGACTCAAAGACCGACCCTGAAAAGCAGCCCCTTTTGAGTCGACTCAAAGACCGACCCTGAAAAGCAGCCCCTGGTTTCCCCGTCGCAGTCGTTCCAGCGATGATCGCACATTCTCATGCACCACACGCACGCCATCGACGACAGTCAGCCATGGTCTCAGGCGAGCACGAGAAGTAACGTAATCCGTTACATAAGGACTCGTCGAACATCGTCTCACAATAGCTCGTTGCAGTCTTAACGCAATAGCAGTGCCACGGACCACACGCCATCGACGTCAGTCGGCGACCTCAATGATCCGAGCGAGTCGCTCTTCCCTTACGTGCGAACTGAGGAAAAAAAACCCTATCGAAACTGGGTCCCTTGCGCAGGAGGGGAGAAGAGCGGAGCGAAATTCACCTCTTGTTAAAGCACACGATAAGAACACGATAAGCGCAACGCCACGCACCAGACGCCATCGACGACATTCAGCGATCGCTTCAACCCTCGCTTTTCCCCGTGCCCGCCGCCGCCGCCGCCCGCGGCTGCGCTCGCCGGCTCTGCGCCGGAGCACTCCTTGCCGCCGGCCCGAGAGGCGGTGGGGAGAAGCGGCGCAGCAAGAGCGGCCGTGGAGTCGTCGCACGCCGCGGGAGGGATCAACACGCAAGAATGACTCATGGCGTGGATGATGTTCGAAGCGACTAAAATAATGGGGAGATGGGGAAATATATCCTTCGCGTTCTGTGCGTTCTAACGAGATATTGCGGCGCGCGAAAAGGAAGCGTGTGTGGGCGGCCGGTGAGAGAAGACTTGAAAAAAGTTCCGATGTTTTTCGCTTTACTAGGAGTGGAATGGACTGACGGGTAATCGAGTTTTTTTTGGACGAAGAGGTCAGAAAGGAGATGAAAGAAGAGCTCAGGTTGGCTTGTCGAGACAGACACTAATAAAAACTCTAATGCAGAAAGCTGCCTTTATGGTGGTGAGGAACAAGCGACGGTGACGAGAATTCTCGAAGGAATAAGAGACGGGTGAAACAGTCATGAGGTGGTTGGAGGAGAGGGATGCAGGGACAGAGGTGCTGGTTTGGTTGCAGTTGGGGAGGAGAATTCGTTTCTCGAGCCGCTCGCAGCTGTCATAGGCGAAGTTCGGCGGGTGACTTTGCGAAACAACAGTGACCATGTTTGTTTGAGTTGACGGTATTAGCACTCGCTTACATAAGTGCATCCTCACGCTGTGTTAAAAAACGAAAGCCGATACACACTCGGCGTTTGTGGGAGGTATGATCCGCTTTTACGACCCATCTTCTGTTCCCAGCTGGTGATATTCGTAAGTCTCAATAGGAAGACTGCACTAAGTGCTTCAGGGAAACGTAAAATGCCTCAGGTGGTTACGCTCGCGACATCTCGTCAACGGAAACTGCAGGCTCTGGTGGCGGAATCTGCTCAGCCCTTGCCATGCTGCGAAATGTGGCGGAAGTCTTTTGAGCTCATTGGCTCGCTGCTTCGTGACTCTGTTGCTGCAGGTCAATCCTGTCGTCGAGTCAGAAGTGAGGCCAGATGGAGGCGCCTACTGGATAATTCCACAAACCGCAGCTCGCTGTGTAATGGGAGAACCAATAAGGACGAAAGATCTCCCAGCGGGTTGCCCAATCAGTGAACGATTTGGGCTGACCTGGTTCCAGCACTTCAACTTCCTTCCAGCAAGGCAAGGTTGCATTGCAAGATCTTCGGAACTGGAGCGCTCGATACTGGCTATACAAAAACTTCTATCATATTAATCGGATAGGTTAATGTCGCTCTAACGAAAGTAAGCCTGAATGGGTAACTTGGTTCGAATCGCATCTTCCAAACCAGGTAGCCGTTGGGCTTGCGTCATTGGCTAATCGCACTGAACATCGAGGTTCGTGGTCTGTCTGGCCCTAGGTTCGGTCTGCATGTTCGGTCATGTCAGCGCATCTTCGCAAGAACGAGTTACCTAGCTTCTCAAATGTCGTCATCCGTCGCACACATTCTTATCCACTCGTCTCCTCGCCTGTAGTCGCATGCTCTGGCCTTCCCGAGTATGAGTTCGCCAAAACTTCAACCAGACCGGACTTCTTCCCCTCGCCACTTTTGCAGGTTCGGTTCAGATCAGACCAGACCAGCAGTCTCGTAGCAGGAAATAAAAGCTTATTACAGCGTGAAAACGTATGAGTAGCCTTCACTGAAAACGTGCATCGTGTCATGGCGACAGGCCGGAATTCCCGTGGCGAGACCTCAGACGCACGCGTGCCCCTTATTCAGCCGCCTGTAAACCCCCCTAGGGATGGCACGTCGACCAATAGCATTACGCCGGTTACTGCCTGCTTGCCGCGTCTCGCGCCACCGAATGACGTAGGTGTTATCGATTGCGACGAAGGCCGTGCGGGGAGGAAAGAAGTTGATACCCCCTCGGCAGATGAAGGCGAGATTGTTGGCCCGCACTCGCCGCGCGCGGGGTTGAAACGGTCGCTTACCGTCGTTGACGGCGTCAGGTGCGAAATGCCGACGTGCCGCTCTGAAGTTTGACTGTAAACGGTCGCTTACCGTCGTCGACGGCGCCAGGTGAATATTGAACAAGGTTTTTCATTAGCCAAGATCGTCGGGCCGCACTCGCCGCGCGAAGGGTTGAATGGTCGCTTACAGTAAAAATTTAAGAGCATCAGGTGCATTGATTCGTTCGCTCAGGCAATGCTCTGGAATCTGACTGTCTGACGTGTGTTGCTCGGACGTGTGAAAAGGGTGCTGCTCTGACGTGCGGTGTTATGTGTCAACAGCTCAATCCTCACCTACACGTCTCATAACTGGTCTTCCGTGAGGGTAGATTTCTGTCACTTATGAGAACTTCAAAATGAATTCTCGAATCGACATCTCTCATGACAGGCCTTTCGTGAGGGTATAATTCGATCACTCGCGCCTCTTTCACCCCTCTCCTTCCCCTATCGCTCCCCTCTCCTGCTACCCTCTCCTTTTCCGTCGCCCTCTCGCTCCGTCTCGTTCCGTCTCCCTCCGTCTTCCTCTGTCATCTTCCGCCTCCCTCCCTCCGTCCTCGTTCTCCCCATTTCCATCCGCAATGCACCAAAATGCAGCATGGTGCTGGGAATGGTGGTGGGAAGCAGCATATTCGCCATGCCAGCCTTGCCCTGCAGTGTGGTGTGCAAACGCCCATGCCTCTCTGCCTCTCTGTGTGCATCATGTGTTGCTCTGTCTCAAGGAGCATGGTGCTGGGAGTGGTGGTGGGCAGCCAGCGGCATATTCGCCACGCCAGGCGTCGTGCTCGTGGATTCCGGAGGGATCTCCTCTCACACCCCCCATCCCCTCATTCCGCCCATCCCCTCTCCTCCCCTCAATCTTCCCCCCTGATGCGGCAGCAATGGTGCTGGGAGTGGTGGTGGGCAGCGGCATATTCGCCACGCCAGGCGTCGTGCTGCTGGGTGGAGTGTAAACGCCCGTGCATTTCTGCCCCTCAGTCTCTATCTATCTATCTCTTTCCGTGTTAATGCAGCATGGTGCTGGGAGTGGTGGTGGGCAGCGGCATATTCGCCACGCCAGGCGTCGTGCTGCTGGGTGGAGTGTAAACGCCCGTGCATTTCTGCCCCTCAGTCTCTATCTATCTATCTCTTTCCGTGTTAATGCAGCATGGTGCTGGGAGTGGTGGTGGGCAGCGGCATATTCGCCACGCCAGGCGTCGTCCTGCTGGACGCGAGCGGGTCGCCGCTGCTGGCGCTGCTGCTGTGGCTGCTGGCGGGGGTGGTGGGGTACGCCTGCTGCGAGGTGAGATGGGTGCGAGGAGGGGAGAAGACTTTTGGGTCGAATCAATATTCGGATTCGTCTTGCTGGACGCGAGCGGTTCGCCGCTGCTGGCGCTGCTGCTGTGGCTGCTGGCGGGGGTCGTGGGATATGCGTGTTGTGAGGTAAGCAAGGGAAGGGTGAGTGGTGGAAGGAGGGAGACAAGGGCAAGGCAAGTACGTTTGCCGCTGCTGGCGCTGCTGCTGCGACTGCTGGCAGGGGTGTTGGTGGGGTACCCGTGCTGTGAGGTGAGAAGGGGGCTTATTTGGAGTGGCGTTGTGGGACAAGGAAAGGAGGTGCGAGGATGGGAAGGGTAAGGGCGGTCAACTGCTCATTGCTGCTGGCGCTGCTGCTGCGACTGCTGGCAGGGGTGGTGGGGTACGCGTGCTTTGAGGTGAGAAGGGAAGCAGGAGGGAGGGTTATGAGGGAGGGTTATGAGGGAGGGTTATGAGGGAGGGTTATGAGGGAGGGAGACAGGGTCAGTTCAGTAAGGGTGGCGCTGCTGTTGTGGCAGCTGGCAGGGGACGTGGGTTATGCATGCTGCGAGGTGAGGAGAGAGGGGTGGAGAGCGTGAAGAACGGACGAGGTGGGGAGAGAGAGAGGTGAGGAGGACGGAGAAGAGGGTGTAGGGTGGGTCGCCTGCAAGGTAGGTAGGAACAAGGGATGTTAATGCTGATGGATGGCCGCTTTTGGGTGGGGCTGCTTATGCGGCTGCTGGCGAGGGTCCCGGTCCTGAGATATGCTTGCTGCGAGTTTTTGAGAATTCTCAAATTCTCAAAAACTCCCTGCAATGGCGAGGGTCCTGAGATATGCTTGCTGCGAGCGAGGTGATGAGGGGGATGGGGTGTTGTGGAAGAGAGGGGGAAAGGGGTAATGTTGGCTGGTTTGTAAGGTACGGAGGGGTGATAATGCGGATGGGTTGCCGCTTCTGCGCTGCTGCTGTGGTGCTGGCCGGGTACTGGTGTGCGCATGGTGCATGGTGAGAAGGCAGGGAGGTGGGGAAGGAGGTGTTGCCTTGCCAGGTCCCAGGCGGGAGAGTTGAATGTTTCAAGGGGGGCACATTCTAAGGCGGGAGAGTTGAATAAGGTAAGGGGGACATCTAAGCGCTTATGTAGTCCCATTCTACTCTCCATCCCATCCGATCCCATCCCATCTCATCCCATCCATTCTACTCTCCACCCCATCCCATCCCATCCCATCCCATCCCATCCCATCCCATCCCATCCCATCCCATCCCATCCCATCCCATCCCATCCCATCCCATCCCATCCCACCCCACCCCGTTCCATTCCTCTCCATGCGACCCATCCGCCCCTGTCCATGCCATCAGGTGTATGCGGAGCGTCGTGATAAAAGTGATGTTTTGAGACGTCTCAAAACATCACACATATCACGTGGCCATCCCACCCCATCCCGTTCCATTCCTCTCCATTGGACCCATCCACCCCTGTCTATGCCATCAGGTGTATGCGGAGCTCGGGAGTTTCATCCCACACGCAGGCGGCGATGGGGAGTACTTGCAGGTACTCTACTGCACTAAAACTCACCCACAAGCTTACAGCTACCCTTAGAAATCAGGTGTATGCGGAGCTCGGGAGTTTCATCCCTCATGCAGGCGGTAATGGGGAGTACTTGCAGGTACTCTACTGCACTAAAACTCACCCACAAGCTTACAGCTACCCTTAAAAATCAGGTGTATGCGGAGCTGGGGAGTTTCATCCCTCATGCAGGCGGTGATGGGGAGTACTTGCAGGTAACCTGCACTTTACCTCACAAGAGCACAACTTCCCTTTTAAAAATACCTGTTATGTAATCTGCAGTCTCCTGCTGTTTGACTTAAAACGTAACCATAACAAAGCCATTCCTCCTTACCCACCTCCTGTGTATGTGCCGATGTTGGTAGAATGGAAGGTTGATGCTCATGATGTGAGTTTCCTTTTCTCGTCGATTCATATACACCATCATCTTAGGGTTCGGGTTTAGGGTTCAGGTATTTATCTATCTTACATGTCGATTCTCTAACCAGCAATAAATGTGAGTTTTTTCATGCCGATTCTGCTTGTTCCTACAGCACCAGATATACGGCCTTCTTCAGCTTATCGTCCTTTAGTTGATTGTACTCACACTTGTTTACTATTCATGACATCATGTCCCATGCCGAATCCGTCTCCGCCAGGTGGCGTTTGGAGAGCTCGCGTCGTTTGTCTTCATGTGGATGTTCTTCTTTGTCTCTACCGGCGGGGCCCTCTCCATTCTTGTTGTCACGTTCGCCCGATACGCTGTCGCTCTGGTGAGGGGAGTGCTCGTGGGGGGTGGTGCTCGTGGGGGGTGGGTGGTGCTCGTGGGGGTCGTTTTTGAGGCGCCTCAAAAGCGACCTCGATACGCTATCGCTCTGGTGAGGGGAGTGCCCGTGGGGGGTGGTGCTCGTGGGGGGTGGTGCTCGTGGGGGGTGGTGCTCGTGGGGGGAGTGCTTGTGGGGGGTGGTGCTCGTGGGGGGAGGAGGGCGAAGGTCAGGGGCCCTCTCATGTGAATTGCGCTCATCATTTCAAGTGGTTGGGCCCTCTCCATTCTTGTGGTCACCTTTGGCCGATACAAGTGTGACTTTTGAGAATTCTCAAAAGTCACGCTAATTCTTGTGGTCACGCTTGCCTGATACGAGTGAAGAGTGGTGATGGTGATGGGGGAAAGGATGTCAATTGGGTTTTCATCTTCGTATCAACCCGCAAGGCTCTACTGGCTGTTGCCCTCCTTCTAGGTGACTTTTCAGTCGACTCAAAAGTCATCTCTGTTGCCCACCTTCTCTTGCTCTCTGCTGCCCGTTTTTCTGGTGGAACAGCATCAGGCGAAGAAGAGGTGATGATTGTGGTGATAAAGGGGATGTCCTCTTTTCCCTCATGAAATGCCCACTCCTCTCTTCATCTTGTGCAAAAGTATTGAGACGTCTCAATATTCATCTTGTGGTCTCCGATTTTCCCTCCTCTTGCTGCTCTCCTCCCATTTCTCCTGCCAGCTACCAGGGGCAGCAGCAGGGGGCGAGGAGGAGATGGAAGTGATGGTGATGGTGGTGGGAGGGGGATGCGTGCTGCTGCTTACTCTTGTCAACTGCTGTGGTGAGTGTGTGTGAGTTTGAGTGAGTCATGAGTGTCTGTTAACCGTATACCAAAGCCCTTGAGACTTTCAACCAGAAACACAACACCCTAGTCTAATTCTTTCAACCAGAAACACAACACCCTAGTCTAATTCTTTCCTCTGCTGTACCCCTTCCTCCTCCTCCTCCTCCTCCTCCTCCTCCTCCTCCTCCTCCTCCTCCTCCTCCTCCTCCTCCTCCTCCTCCTCCTCCTCCTCCTCCTCCTCCTCCCTCTTCCCTCCCCGCCAGGAGTTGAAGCAGGCACATGGTTGCAGAACCTCCTATCGCTCTCCAAGGCGCTCCTCATCGCCATCATCCTCTCTCTCCCCCATCTGTGTGCCATTTCCACTTCGTCCTATCAATTATCCCTCTCTTCAGGCGTGGAGGCAGGCACGTGGCTACAGAACCTCCTATCGCTCTCCAAGGCGCTCCTCATCGCCATCATCCTCTCTCTCCCCCATCTGTGTGCCATTTCCACTTCGTCCTATCAATTATCCCTCTCTTCAGGCGTGGAGGCAGGCACGTGGCTACAGAACCTCCTATCGCTCTCCAAGGCGCTCCTCATCGCCATCATCCTCTCTCTCCCCCATCTGTGTGCCATTTCCACTTCGTCCTATCAATTATCCCTCTCTTCAGGCGTGGAGGCAGGCACGTGGCTACAGAACCTCCTATCGCTCTCCAAGGCGCTCCTCATCGCCATCATCCTCTCTCTCCCCCATCTGTGTGCCATTTCCACCTCGTCCTATCAATTATCCCTCTCTTCAGGCGTGGAGGCAGGCACGTGGCTACAGAACCTCCTATCGCTCTCCAAGGCGCTCCTCATCGCCATCATCCTCGCAGCCGCCCCGGCCTTCATGCTGCTGCAAGGCCCGGCCACTGCCACCGCCAACCTCCTTCAGCCGCTCCCTCCGCTTGACTCGCTTGACCTCAGCCGACTGGGCGCTGGGCTCGTGGCGGCTATATGGGCCTTTGACGGATGGTGAGTGGATGGGTGGGGTGGGGTGGGGTGGGGTGGGGTGGGTTGGGGTGGGTGACAGCCAGGTTGCCTTCATGCTGCTGCACGGCCCTGCCACTGCCACCGCCAACCTCCTCCAGCCGCTCCCCCCGCTTGACTCGCTTGACCTCAGCAGGCTGGGCGCTGGGCTCATGGCGGCTATATGGGCCTTTGACAGATGGTGAGTGGGTGGGTGGGGTGGTATGTGCGCTGGTAAAACCCCCCTTGCTTCCCAGCCCCCCTTGCCGCCCCGGCCTTGCTGCTGCTGCACGGCCCGGCCACTGCCACCGCCAACCTTCTTCAGCCGCTCCCTCCGCTTGACCTCAGCAGACTGGGCGCTGGGCTCGCTGCTGCGATATGGGCCTTGGACGGATGGTGAGTGGACGGGTGGACGAGGTGGCTGGGGTGGGTGACGGCCAGGCTGCCTTGCTGCCACCGCAAACCTCCTCCAGCGACTCCCTCCGCTTGACTCGCTTGACCTCACCAGGCTGGGCGCTGGGCTCGTGGCTGCCATCTGGGCCTTCGATGGATGGTGAGTGGGAGAGTCGTGGGGTAAATCGGAGGTAACCAGGTGGTAACCAGAGGTAGCAGTCACATCTCGGCGCAGTAACATTTCTTCAGCTGACGGTGGCAGTGGTAGGCCAGGTTACAATACGCAACCTGGCCTACCACTCCACTTCCTCCATTGACATCGCAGGAACTGCGTGGGCTTTCTATCAGAGGAGCTGAAGGATCCAAGGAGGGAACTCCCAATCCAATGACCCCCCCCCCCGTCATCCTCATCCATTCCTCCATGTCCATCAATCCACAGCCAATCCTCTTGCCCACGACCTCGCAGGAACTGCCTGGGCTTTCTATCAGAGGAGCTCAAGAACCCAAAGAGGGACCTGCCTCGCTCGCTCTCCATCGGCATGCTCATTGCGGTCGTCATCTGTGTGAGTGGCGATGTGGTGCGGTGGCGAACTGACTATGCCCATTCTCTCTCTATGGGCTATTCTATGCTCTCACACGCCCAAAGAGGGACCAGCCTCCCTCGCTCTCCATCGGCATGCTGATCGCTGTTGTCATCTGTGTGAGTGGCGGTATGCTTGTCCTAGTTAAGCTTCTATCGAGTATGTTTTTTTTTTTTTTTTTTTTTTTTTCCTTCATTTAATGCTTGTGAGTCCATTGGATCCGTTGCTCCCCCATGGGCATGCTGCTGCTGTCATCTGTGTGAGTAGCAGCCACAAAGTATGCGTAAATTGTGTATGCTTTTATCGAGTATGCATCTATTGAGTACGCTACCATTGAATCCGACGCTGTTCATAGGCATGTTGGTGGCTGTTGTCACCTGTGTGTGAGTGGTGCTATTAATGAGCTTATCGAATATGCTTCTACTGAGTATGAAGCTGATTGAGTGTTGCCCTGTTTGTTCACTACAGCAATGTGACTCCACAACGTTCCTATATTAATCTTTTTTTTTTGTTTGTGACAGTCCATGTAGGTTCGTGACAGTCCATGAAGGTTCCTGACAGTCCGTGTAGGTTCGTGACTGTCCGTGTAGTAGGCTCGTTACAGTCCATGTAGGTTCGTTTAAATTCACGTCCCTCACCCACACCCACGTTGTTCAGTTTGAGTTATTTCATATCCCAATAAAAACGCCTCCCGCCCACCTCCCCCACGGATTACCTTCTCCAATTATCCCTCGCCAGCTGTCTGCCAATGTGGCATATCTCTGCATCCTTCCTGCTCAAGGTGAGAAAGCGTGTGGTGCACGCACTCCACTTGCTGTTCATGTGTAGTATTCTACGATTCTACGTTCCCCTCGCCATCCATCAGTTGCCAGCTGTCTGCCAACGTGGCATATCTCTGCATCCTTCCCGCTCAAGGTGAGAGGGCGTGTGTCGTCGTGCGGCGCTTGTTTACTGCTATTTTACGCCACCTTCTGAGAATTGCAAGTGTGGCATTTTGCATAGATTATCCGTGTAGGATTGGTGTTTGGCCCAGTAGCAGGCATACTGGTTGATTAGATTCAAATAGTTCCGCTGCTAAAATAAACCATAACCCTTCACCGTCTCCGGATCTCCTTCCTCGTCCTTCCAGACATAGGCATATCACAGGTGGTGGTGGTGGTGGTGGATTCAGTGGCGCTCGTGTTCGGCCCGGCAGCAGGCAGGCTGGTGACAACAGGCGCTATTTGAGTCAACTCAAAACAGGCGCTAGACGGCAGGCTGGTGGCTGTGTGTGATAAGTCGATTTTTGAGTCGACTCAAAAATCAACTCAAAACAGGCGCTAGACGGCAGGCTGGTGGCTTCAAGCAACTCTCTCATGCCCCTCATCTCCACCCTTTTATCACCAGTCTCCTCTTTCCAACCTCACCCCAGCCATTGGGATATCTCAGGTGGTGGCGGTGGATTCAGTGGCGCTCGTGTTCGGCCCCGTAGTGGGAAGGCTGGTGGCGCTGCTGGTGGCGTTCAATGTGCTGGGCTCGGCTAATGGCACTCTGCTGTGCAACGCACGATACTTTGTGAGTTGCATGCAAGCAAAGCAGGCTGGCACGGAAACAGGCAATCAGGCAGGCAGGCGGCAGGCAGGCTGGTGGCGCTGCTGGTGGCTTTCAACGTGTTGGGCTCTGCCAATGGCACTCTGCTGTGCAATGCACGATACTTTGTGAGTCGCATGCAGCTGCAGCAGCAGCAGCAGCAGCAGCAAGCAGGCACCAATCCCCACCCCCTCCTCTCCCTCATCTAGGGAGGCCCGTCTGCCTCGCTTTTTCCAGCTGTACCCTCCACACTCCCCCTCACCCCTTTCAACCCCCCTCCCACCCCTCTCCACCCCCACTGCTCAAACAACAGTACGCCATGGCAAGGGAGGGTCGTCTGCCTCGCTTCTTTGGGGCTGTAACCAAGTCCGGTGCTCCCTACGCTGCTCTCTGCCTCATAGTGAGCCTACCGCTCTGTGCCTTATAGTGAGTTTATGCTTCTCCCTGCCTTATAGTGAGTCCACTACGCTGCTGCGTAAGTCACAGTAGGTCTGAGAAGTGAGATTTCTAACTTAGATATATATATGCATATATATACATTATCATTATTTTCCGTGCGCGCGCGAAAGCTCTCCTGCAGTAATGGGTTGCTTGTCTGTTGCGTATCTCATCTTCGTTCTTTCATCCATCACCTTCCCTCTCTCCGTTCTTCCTTCCTTCTTTCTTCCTCCCTCTCAACCTCCCTCTCTTCACTCAGGGTGGCTGGACCATGGTGCTGCTCTTCTTTGCAGCCAATCAGCTTGAGAAGGTAAGGAGCTGTAGGTACAGGTAAGTGATTGACATGCATGGAGAGCGATTGCCATTTGCAGTTAAGTTCGCTTTTAAGGCGCCATGTTCACATGGTGGGTGGCTGGACCATGGTGCTGCTCTTCTTTGCAGCCAATCAGCTTGAGAAGGTAAGCAACTGCAGGCACAAGTGATTAGCTAGCCCATGCAAGGAGCTGCACGAGGAGCCAAATGTTAGCAGATCTTGGAACATTTTCCAGTGAGCAGCACTTCTCATGTAGGGCACAAGTGATTAGCTAGCCCATGCAAGGAGCTGCACGAGGAGTGAAATGTCATTGCTCCACGTGCCAATGCCACATATGGCCTTCCTGTTCTGCACAGCTTCCCAAATAGTCTCCTCTACTTTAGCATTGCCACGTGGCCTTTCCACGGAGCAGAAGCAGCGGCACTACGAGGCGATAACCTGTTCTGTAGAGCCGTCACAGCAGACGACTTTTGAGGCGCCTCAAATATGGGCTTTCCACGGAGCAGAAGCTACAGCACTATGAGGCGATAACCTGTTCTGTAGAGCTGCCGGAGCAGCTGCAACCCGCACTCACCAAGACCTGCGCGTGTTTCCTTTTGAGGCGCCTCAAAAGTCACCAAGACCTGCGCGTGTTTCCTTTTGAGGCGCCTCAAAAGTCACCAAGACCTGCGCGTGTTTCCTTTTGAGGCGCCTCAAAAGTCACCAAGACCTGCGCGTGTTTCCTTTTGAGGCGCCTCAAAAGTCACCAAGACCTGCGCGTGTTTCCTTCTTCCCACTGTGCCTCCCATCCGCAGCTTCTAGACTATTTCGGCATCGCAACGTGGATATTCTATGGGGCGGTGGCAGCAGCTCTCTTCAAGCTCCACAACCCCACACATCTCCCTCCTATGCCCCCCTCATTCCTTTCCCCTCAGCTTCTAGACTATTTCGGCATCGCAACGTGGATATTCTATGGGGCGGTGGCAGCAGCTCTCTTCAAGCTCCACAACCCCACACATCTCCCTCCTATGCCCCCCTCATTCCTTTCCCCTCAGCTTCTAGACTATTTCGGCATCGCAACGTGGATATTCTATGGGGCGGTGGCAGCAGCTCTCTTCAAGCTCCGATGGGCCTTCCCCAACGGCCCAAGGCCGTATGAGGCTCGTTTCTACCCGCTCCCTCCCGTGATTGCGCTCGTCGCTGCCGTGTGAGTGCAATTATCGCTGCCTTGAGGGTGTGTGTGCTGGTGTGGTGTTTGTTATAGACCCTTGAACACCCCTAGTGGCCCAAGGCCGTATGAGGCTCGCTTCTACCCGCTCCCTCCCATCATTGCTCTCGTCGCTGCCGTGTGAGTGTGGGTGCGGGTGCGGTTGCGGTTGCGGGTGCGGGTGTGGGTATGGGTGCGGGTGTGGGTATGGGTGTGGGTATGTGTGTGTGTGTGTGTGTGTGTGTGTGTGTGTGTGTGTGTGTGTGTGTGTGCGTGGTTGTGTGCTATGGAGCTACACACATTCCCAATGGGCCGCGGCTGCATGAGGCTCGCTTCTACCTGCTCCCTCCCGTCATTGCGCTCGTCGCCGCCGTGTGAGTGTATGAGAGTATGTGTGTGACTGCACTATTGAGCTTTGAAATCTCTCATCAGCCCAAGGCCCTATGAGGCTCGCTTCTACCCGCTCCCTCCCGTCATTGCTCTCGTCGCTGCCGTGTGAGTGTGGGTGTGGGTGTTGGTGTGCGTGTGGGTGTGGGTGTGGGTGTGGGTGTGGGTGTGGGTGTGGGTGGGTATGTGCTGAACACTCGTAATGGCCCGAAGCCGTATGAGGCTCGCTGCTACCCGCTCTCTCCAGTCATTGAGCTCGTTGCTGTTGTGTGAGTGAGGGTGTGTGTGTCGATGTGGGTGTCCGTATGAACATCCCTAGTGGCCGGAGGCCATATGAGGCTCGCTTCTACCTGCTCCATCCCGTCATTTCTCTCGTCGCTGCCGTGAGTGAGGGTGTGTGGATGTTGGTGTGGGTGTGGGTGTGGGTGTGGGTGTGGGTGTGGGTGTGGGTGTGGGTGTGGGTGTGGGTGTGGGTGTGGGTGTGGGTGGGTATGTGCTATGGACCTATGAACACTCTTAATGGCCTGAGACCGTATGGCGCTCGCTGCTACCTGCTCCATCCCGTCATTGCACTCGTTGCTGCTTTGTGGGTGTGTGAGGGTGCAATGGTTACTGCTGTACGAGTGTGTGAGTGAGTGTGCAATGGTTACTGCTGTACGAGTGTGTGAGTGAGTGTGCAATGGTTACTGCTGTACGAGTGTGTGAGTGAGTGTGCAATGGTTACTGCTGTACGAGTGTGTGAGTGAGTGTGCAGTGGTTACAGCTGTACGAGTGTGTATGAGTGAGTGTGTCATTGAGGCCGTATGAGGCTCGCTTCTACCAGCTCCATCCCGTCATTGCGCTCGTTGCTGCTGTGTGAGTGTGCAATTGGTTGATACTGAGTGAAATTGTGAATGTGAGTGTGAGTGTGTGCTATAGAGCTATGGTATGTTATTACCATTGCATGAATGCTCTTGCTGTAAGCTTTTGCATCCTAATGCTCCTCCTATGCAACCTTCATTGCAATATGACTTATGTCCTCCTTTCCCCATGCTGTGGTGCCTTTGAATGTTACAGATTTCTTGTAATAACGTCGCTATTCGCTCATCCGGTTCCTTCAGTGGCGTCGCTTGGCTTTGTATTTGTTGCTTTCCCTTTGTACTATATTACCAAGTGGTTCCAAGGCCAACGTCAGCCTTCATCCACCAATGCTGTCAATCAGGGTTTGTTGCGATGATTCTTTCTTTCAGGTTGATTTATATCAGTGGATTTTCTTGTATGCTTCCCTTCTCAGCTTCACTGGTATCCCATAAGCTTTATTGGCGTGTGGCTGGCGCATACCATGGTTGCTGTACATTATCAAACTCGGTTGCGGGCTAGACCACACTAGCGGGGCAACGTGGTTTGGGTGCTGAACCAATTGTTCATGCTTCTCACATCATTTGCTCAGTTACAAGCATGCCATAGAACTGCATGAATTGTAGAACTCCACTCAACCGTTCTGAGAAGCATTCAACCATGTTTTCTTGTTCACTACTGCATCAATCTCGCATGCTACTTTTCTTAAACGTTCAAGATCGCACTTAACCGCTTTTTCCCACGACCACTCCTACTCAACCGCGTCAAACGACACCGACGAAAACTACATACTCTATCTGCCACCTAATCGCACAGCATTCTTCCCACCTAACAAGCTAGTATCCATTGCACTCAATTGTTGGAACGTCGGATGCGGTTCTTTGACGAGGCCTGTTTGAATGGGTGCGCGCTCGCACCATCTTGTGCGCGAATCTTTCTTCTGGTTGCTCCGGTCGACAAGGCGAGGAGGCGAAGCGCGAAAATGTCAGGCGCGTATTTGGTATCTCCGTTTCCTCGACGCTTAACTCCTTACCGGGCAATGGCTGTTCTGAAAGACGCGCTTGCACTTTAGGAGATGCATCTGATTGCGAAGCTCGTGAGCGACTTCGCATAGATCTAGATCGACGAACATCAGGCGTCTCCGACGAGTTGTCGTCGAGCGGACTTAGACCACACTCAGAAATAACCGTTGCGATTGGGATCGTGTCATAACTGCGCCGCCGCCCCGGACGAGGCGGCACCTGCGCGCCGCGTCTGCCTGAAACCGGTGTGGAGCCAACATTACCATTAGTGATACCATTGGGGGGGCTGAAAGTATTATAATCGCCACTTCTGCATGTAGTACTATCAGCAGATGATGTCGTACCGCTGGGTGCGCTACTGCTTCGAGTGAATCCGATCAAGGATTCTGTCGATGCGCTATTCTTCACTCCAGACACAATCGCAGCTTGCAATGTCAGATCTTGCCAACTGTTGTCGCCGTCTCCCCGCTTATGCGATGCTTCGATTAAGTGGTAAGTCACTCCGCGTCTCAACGGGCGGGAAGGGGGGAGCGGAACCGGCGCGAACGTAGAAAGCGCGACTTGGTGTCGTGGAAAGTCACCCATGATGTCTGCGACGAGCAGGCTGCCTGCGACGTCGTCGTACAGTCGCACGCTTCCATCCGTCAAGACGACGATGACTGGATGCGAGGAACGTTCGGCAAAGCTCTTAGTCCGACGAGTAATCTTGGTTCTTGACATCTCAGTTGGCTTCCGCGAAGCGCCACGATCGGAGCTACCATCATGACTGGGTTGCCGATCATAATCATGCGATAATGGATTATCATAAGTGGCGTCGGAACCGTTACAGTAACTGGAACCGCAAGGTACGTCTTTCCCCGACTGCTCTCCCACCTTCTCCGCGCTTTTCATCCGCCTTAAAGCCAGTTTTCTTTCCTTCACACTGAGAGGCAGGCGGAGCTGGGGTGGGCTGCCAGTGCTCCCCGACGGATGACCTTTTATACGCCTTAACGCGTGCTTCATCTCCGTGACGCTGGGAGGCAGGCAGAGCTGGGGTGGGCTCCCGGATTGAGGAACAAAGGTCGCCGCTGCTGACGTGGCTTGCTCGCCGTCGCGGCGGCTCTCGCAGCCGCTCATGCTTTGGGTGCGACAATGGCGACGACGGCCGTTACTTGCGGCGCGATCCCCGGGTGTGATTTTGCGGTAGCTCTGACTGCGATCGAGACGAGGGATGACGTTATGTTGTTTGCATGCCAGGGTTGAGCCTCGGACTTGTCGTGAATCTATGATTGCAGCGAAACTCACGGGGGTAGCTCTGGCAAGCTATGGTAGTACTGTAATGTTGCACAAGGTCTCCGTGTGCGCTCCTAAACAGAAATCCGCTTTTCCGTAAACAGCTCCCAGCAGCCTTATCTTTCTCAAGCAACGCAGTGATTGTCAAAGCGAATCGCGACGAAATCGGTGGAGATGAGTTGATTGGCCACTTGTACGTTGGCCATACTTGGCGTGTACCACCCGAATCTCAAGGGCTGAAGGATGAGTGATGTAGCGTATATTTGTCGCGACGCTACGGTTGCAAACCCGTGCCGCTCACGCTCTTCGCTGCGGTTAGATGGCGCCGACTATGGCCCAAACTACCGCACCTTCTCACGAAACCCTCAATCTCAACTTTCTCGTCGTATCCCTCCTGTGGGTGTTACTGCTGTAGAGGACGCCATACCATCACTAAGGACGATCTGTATGGAAAAGACCATATCCACCATAGAGTTTTTGAACGAAGTGGGGAAGAACCAGATTACCCAAGTGGATCGCGGAACTCGTCAATCAGATGTAACTTTGGCGAACTAGGAGCACCAATCTGCTGCACATGTGAGTGTGCATGGGCGAAGGAAGCGCAGCATAGCGAAAGTTTTTCAGCGAAACGATATAAGAGTCGCTCTGCGGACAATGTGCTGTCTGTGGCTCGTCCTCCTGGGATCAAATCGAAATCGTGCAGTCCTGTCAAGACAGCTGGAGCACACTGGGGATTATTGTCGAGGGGGCTTGAAAACGAGAGGCTATAGAAAGGCTGCACTAGAAGTATAGTCCGTGATAGGAATGAAGAATATACAGTGTGTCAATAATAACAAAACAGGGGAATTTCAGCCATTGATTCTTTAATGTTGTTGGGACTAATGTAACAGAAATGAAAGAAATTCTGTATAAACTAGATCGTAATTGCACAAATATATTATCCTATTTTTATTGTTAACTCGACACTAATTGTTGTTGTGTAACGTACTAAGCATTGCAAACTCAACGCCGCACTCAAATTTACAGTAATTTAATCATAGAATAGCAAGCTTTTGGCTTTGCCTTATGTTGTGAGAAATGCATAACCGTTATATTACATTTTTTACCACTCTGAAGTGGTAGAAACAAGGCTACTTTTATCATTGTAGGTCGCTCTCATACACTGATAATCAGAGAGGTTTTTGGTACCTCCACTGATGCCTTCGGGTAATTTTTCTGGAGCTTATATTTTCTTGATATGCCAGGTGTTGGGAATACAAACGCATGACTTCGTGCGTTTCTGTAGTATCGAACCTCACCCGATACTGAAGCACAACAAAAGGAGTATGAAGTCGAAAAGGTGCGTACCACACTTTAACCGCAACTGGATGTTGCGAGTTGTAACCGCCTGGAGGTTACGCAACAGCAGGCGACGCTTCAGTGAACAGTAACCGCCTCGATAGTCGAAGCGTTACGCGTCTCGATAAACACAACCGCTCCCTGTTATCTATCCTTTCCTATATATTCTTGTATGCTCTTTACTTTAATCAATTACTTGTTCTCACATACTAGCACAAGTACATCCACCTAAAGACTTCCGTTGTGCTACTTTAGCACCTATTAGCCTATTCTCTGCAAAGATCCTTAGGCTGAAATTCTCAGCCCAACATGGTATGAGAGCGGTCAGAGAACAAAGGCTCTCGTCACTAAGTCTCTTCCAGACTACCAATCTGCAAGCAACCAAGAAATTCAAATCTTCATTCAAGAAAAGCAAGACATGGCAAGCGGCAAGGAAAGAATATCATATACGGGATCTACTCTACCCCCGGTCTCCGAGCTGCAGACCGAAGGAGGAGCAACGCCCGGATTAACGCCGGAAGTGACGGAACGTTCTGTTCAAGCGCCAGTAGCGCCGCCAACAACCTTCAATCCAAGCTTAATGGAGGAGTTCTTCAACTTCATGTCGCAGCAGCAGCAGTCCTCACAACCTGCAAACAGTAACAGCGTAAACAACGGAGCGGCACCAATGAGTATTGACAACTCATCGTTCGGACGACACAATCAACAAACACCAAATTCGATCTCACCTGGTTCCTTCACGTTCATGCCGCCCCGCCATCTAGCGGCTCCTCTTCCCGCCATCAAACGAGACACCGAAGAAGTCCTGCAAGTACAAGCACAGTTCAACAACATCCTGCGGCTGCACACATCTACACCATTCAACGGGAAGGACTTCTACTCTTGGAGCTTCGAGTTTGAACTCCTGATGGAAGGAGCAAATCTCCTCGGACTATTCAATGGTACCTGGCCATACCCACACCACGGCGAAGACAAGGACAAAGAAAATTATACGTATCACTCCCTGATGGCCTACACCGTTCTTCTTCGAAACTTGTCGCCGAACGAACAACAAAGCATCCGCGCCTACCGGAACTACGCGAACTCCGCGGAACTCGCTTATCAACACCTGCGAAGCATTCATCAAGCATCCGACAGCGGTACACAAAGCCGACTCATGGCTCAATTGACAACAGTTCAAATGCAACCCGGCGAAAAGGCCATGCCTTACATCAGTCGCTGTCAAGGACTAAGTGACAGATTTATTCGCTGCGGAGGAAACTTATCTGAAGAAGCCTTCGTAACCGTCGTTCTTGCCGGCCTTGGACCCCAGTGGCGTACCACCCGTTCACTCCTCCGCGCTCACGGTCGACTCTCCGAAATGCATCTATGCGCCGAACTTCACGCCGAGCAGCAAGAAATGGACCTGTTCGAAGAACGCAACAACAAAAGGCATCATCAACCAGCTGTTCTTTACACCAATCGACGACAACTACGTTACCAAAACCGAGGACACGTACCTCCTTATTGTCATCTGTGTCGGACTTCAGGACACACACGCTTCAACTGCCCTCAGCAACAACGGCAACCAGCACCATTCTCCCGTCCTCAGCGACCCGCGCCTTCCCACATCGCGTCAACTCAACAACGACCCGCTACCGCTTCAACGACTACTTCAACGCGTCCGTCAACTTCAACTTCGGGACCTGCACAGACATGAAGAATCGTTGCCATGACACGAACAAGAGAGTCAAACACCGACTTACAGCCCTGATGAGCAACCGTCACCACCACCGTCGTCTCTTAATGTGAATCCAACGTACGTCGCCATCGCGAGCAGAGCACCCACCGGACCAGACACATGGTTCCTCGACAGCTGCTGTGGTCATCACATGTGCTCCTCATCACGATTTCTTCAACG